TCCCTCTGAGGCTATGTCCTGGTGCAAGCTGATCAGCATTGAATGTCTTATTCAAAATATCAAACAAAATGCTGTTTGTACGCTGGCAGGATGTAACATTCTCCTTATTCTAGTCTTACTTGCATGTACATCCTTTCCTTCCAGATACTTCTAGATGTGGTACCAACGTTACCAGACATCCCACTGCCGCCGATTCAGGCCAACTACCGCCCTCTTCCTTCGATTGAGTCCATTACCTGTTCCCAGACAAAAAGGAAAGGTATGTTGGGCAGAAAAATAGGTCTGAAATGGGCTGCAGCCATTGTTTGTGGGAGGAAGTGGATGCTGGCTGGGTTGAAGTCTTTCTGTTGGGGTCTGGTGTCCTGCCACTGATGGCCAGAGCCCGGGTTTCGGAAAAAGATGGCTTCTTTTCCACGTGCTCTAGCAGAAATGAGGAAGGTCCTTTGCTGACCCTTCTTGGGACCTGGGTTTTGGACTTGCCCTTCCTGAACTAGGTTGCAGGTCTCTTAGAGAAGACTTGGCCCTTTCGGTTGCTTCTGGGTGACTCTGGTTTGTGTCTCCTGTGCCATTCATCAGAGTGGGCTCTTCTTTTCTCTGTTCCCTTCTTAGTCCAAGTCTTTATCTTTACAGCAGTGTCCTCGCCAGTTGAAGAGAGCGAAGCGGGTTTTACAGGCCGCCGGTTGAATTCAAAGATGCAAGTGTATTCGGGCTCTAAAACTGCCTACCTCCCAAAGATGATGTCTCTGTATCAACAGTGTATCAGAGTCCTCAGTAACAACATTGACTGTAAGTACCTTTCCTCATCTGTCTCAAAGTCATGTTGCCATGCAGATAATACTGAAGTCTTGGTAACTCGTTTGTATATATCCCAGAAGCATCTGGCTTGGAGCATGTGAACAGTTAGTTGCCCTTTGTCACAGGGCAAGCTAACTAATATGGGACAGATCTCACTGAAAGCTCAGGTGCTGCAGGAATCGGCAGCCAGCATGCTTTCAGGGAGTGCTAAAGCTCTGGGAACAGTGGTAAAGAGAGCCTTGCACAGACACTTAACTTGGAGATATTGGTGCCTGATGACCCACTAGAGCTATTGCACCTACGGTTCCTTTCTCCTTCCCCTCGTATTGTGTAGTGGCGTGCAGCACTGCTGGTTTTTCCACTGCATTTCAAGGTGTCAAGCCCTTTCCGTGGCAAGGAAGGAGCAGGATAAATACTCTGTGCATCTTGCTTCTCTCTAGCAATCTATGAAGTGGGTGGTGTGCCTTTCTCAGTGCTGGAGCCAGTATTGGAGAGATGCACCCCAGAGCAGCTGTATCGCATTGAGGAATGTAATCATGTGAGTGCCTTGGCCTGGGGAAGGGATGGTGACATGCGGGAGTGATGTTTTGTCCTCGTCTGCAATAGCAGAATAGTAAAGAACAACGCTCTTTATAACAAGAGGTGGCTTTTTGCTAGTCCTGAGTTCCTGGATTTGCCATCCGCCCATCTCTTGCTGCAAGGCCCCTAAGCTGTCTTGTCCTCTGTGGTATTCCAGTTGACACTGGCGCTAGCTGGTGCTGAGGGAGAGGGCGGTGAAGGTGTCAGGAGGGATCCCAGCTTACACGTGGGTTTGTTTCAGGTCCTCATTGAGGATACGGATCAACTGTGGCACAATCACTGTCTCCGAGACTTCAAGAACGAGAAGCCAGAAGAGTTTGAGTCCTGGCGGGAGATGTACCTTCGACTTCATGACGCACGAGAGCAGCGGCTGCTCATGCTAGCACGGAACATCGGCTCAGCTCATGCCAACAAACCCAAAGGTAAAGTAGGGCTGAATGATCAGAGAGGGGTCTGGAAATGCTGCCTAGGGGATGTCTTTGTTGGGGGAAGGTCTTTTGGAGTGGCTGGTTTAAATCTAGTCCAATTTAGGAGTTGCTTAACTCTGTTCTTTGTGGTGGCCTTTGCTTAATGGCTTAGCAGGCTCTAGATTTCATCCATAGTGTTGCTGATGCAGACCAGACAGAGCAATATTTTATAGCAAGAACATGCAGGGCTGCAGAAGCACCTCCTGTTCTGCTAGAGTGGCTTCTCCATGCTGGGGCTGAAGAATGTCGAGGTGGAGGGAAGCACTCCTGCTCTTTTCGTGAACATAATGAGAACTACTGACCTGATCAGTCTGATTTCTCACAGCCCATGTTGTGACTGCAAGAGGTTCAGACCTTAGGGAAGAGGCTATCACCTGAGCTTTGAAATGGATGGACTGGGGAGAGGTGGTTGGAGCTTGCTGTAATAAGACAAGCCCTGAGGAACCTCCTTTATAATAAGCTGGATCTAAGCAATGCTCCCCTCTGGCCTCCTACAGGTAGAGTGGCCAAAATGGCATTTGTGAACTCTGCAGCCAAGCCCCCTCGGGATGTACGAAGGAGACAAGAGAAGTTTGGAACTGGAGGACCTCTTCTGCCAGAAAAGACCAAGTGAGTGTTTCTCAGTAGCGCTTGCTGTTTGGGGCCTCTTTTCCTGTGGGCTCCTGCCAGCTTCCCCCTGGAGCTCTGTGTCCTGGCGGGAGAGGATACTGTGTGTCCGGGAGGTCCTTCTGCGGGGAAACTTGTCACTGTAATAGCTTCTTTCTTGCTGGGAAGTGCGGAGATCCTGGTCACTGCTGGTTCCATGCGGTATCAGCCATGCCGCTGTTAACAAACGTGGCTTGTGTCTGAAGAATTGCATCAAACCACAGTGACTCCTTTACTGAAATGTCTCTCCCGTCTCTCTTTCAGAATAAAACCAGTCCTGTACACATCTAGCAAAAGCCACACTCGTGTGAGTGAGGAGCAGTCCTACGATGGGCCCAGCACCAGCAGTGCCCATTCTGCCCCATCTTCAGGTAGCACCTTCTCCTCCTATGACCCCAGGAAACCACCAGTGAAGAGTAAGTACAAACTGCAGAACATCCCTGTGGTCTCCTAGAGCTCCTCCTTTACAAACGCACGAATCTGCTGCTTCTGCTGTAAGAGAAATCCAGGCTGTGCAGGAGGGTTGATGTTGGTGGCCTCTCTCCTCTCCCTCAGGAGAGAGTAAAGGCTGTTCAAACTTCTTGCACAAGAAGCATAGGGAAACGTCCGATTCACCTGCCTGCTCAGTGCTGACTGTATCAGCCTGTACTAGCGAGGCAGAAACGCTGCCTTTTCCCTCCTGCTGTCCTTCTGTGTCTGTCCAGCTGTTTGGAACCATGAAATTGTAGTGCAGCTCCCTTGGGAAGGAAGCAGGGAGAGTTTAACCAGAGATCTGTGTTCTTGCAGTGCAGAAAGCAGAGTGGGCTCTCCTCAGTCTGTGACCTGAAAATACAATAGGCCATGATCAGAGAGCACACACTTACACCTGCCTCGCATCTGCTTTGCCAGGGCCGCAGCTTTGAATTTCTCTCTGCCCTCCTAGTCTGTGACTGCTGCGTTAATGTGTGGGTTTTTTGTTTGATTTGTTGTTTTTTTTTTTTCTTTGTTGCAGAAATTGCACCCATGATGGCAAAGACTATCAAAGCTTTCAAAAACAGGTTCTCTCGGAGATAAGTTTGCAGTGCAGATCTGGGACTTTCCTTCTCGAGGGGGAGTGGCACTGAAGGGGGAGAAGGTACCCAAAGAGCCCTTTTCTTTGAACTCTTTGGAGGCTGCAGCTGCTGGGAGAAGCTTTGATCTGCACAAGATGACAGCACAGTATTTTATCTTTTATTCTGGTCCCTTTCTCAGTGTCAAGTCCCCCTCTTTTCCCCCTGCCCTTAACATCCTGTTTCTGGCTTTGTCATCCATCAAAAGAAGGGTGTACAGAATCTCCCGACACGAGAAAATGTGAAGTCTTGGCACCTGCTGAGAGTGGAAGATCCAGAGACTATTTACTATTTAACCTCTTAATAAATTATAAAATGGTTTTAATTAATATTTTGCCCCTCTATCCCGCTGGTATTATTTATGTTGCTCCCAGTAGTCTTCCCCCTCCCAATCCAGTACAAGGGCCAGCCTCTCTGTGACTCGAGCTGGCAGGAATCCATCTGTCTGAGTGGACGCTGGGTGTCACGGGAGTCTTTCCTCGTGATCTGGTACCTGCTGGGCCCAAAGTCCCACCTGGACTCTCTGGGACAGGTAGGACCAGTGGCCCATCGATCCTTTGGCAAGCGCATCAAGTCCTGAGGCTTTGCTCTCTACTTGTGTATGTTAATAAAATCTTAGCTCTCGACCTTCTCTCTGCTGTTACTGTAGATCTTGTACAGATGCTTATGTTGTTGTGCAGGGATGCTAAGAGCCATTGGGGACTTCTTCTCTGCTGCTGTTGTCTTCTGCTGGCTACTGGGAATAAAACTACGAGGGGTTTTGGGAGAAATTTTACTGTGCACCAAGTCAGATTTTAACTTTTGTTGTTTTGTATGTTTTGTTTTGTTTTTTTTTTGAGAGAGAGAGAGATAGGGCACTTTGCCTCTGGAATTGAAAACAGTTTTTAAATATCAATGAAGGCATCGGTTTGCCTCTTTTTAGTGGAAAGAAGGAATACTTTTATCTTGTTTTCTGTGTGGAATTGGGAAGGATTTATTTCCAGTTTCGAAGCTGGTGCTTAAAGCCTGTCTTTTCCCTGTATGTTTTGCTCTGCCCCCTCTTTGGAGAAAGCAAGGATTTTAGTCTGTGGACCTGAAACCACTTGGCTGGGGTTGGAGGGGAGTGAGTAACGGGATGTGGTTTGTTTTTAATGCGTGCATACTTCATAGCAGGACTTCAAAAAGCTCAGCTGTACTTGGTGTCTGAGGAACTGGAGCTCTGGAAGGAAAAAGTGTGTGATGTGGCCTGGCGGACCCAGGGGTTGGTAGAAGCGTGAGGAAGTGCCCTGGAGCACAGCTCCTCTGGGGAGGTCGGGAGCCCGAGTGCTGCCTGAGGTGTGTGATTTCAGGTGGACTTGCTGAGGCCGCAGCAGAGAGCGGGGAGCTGGAAACAACTAGGCACTCGCTATTAAATGTGAAGCCTTATCATTGTGAACGTTTACTGCCCATGGGTTACGTCTGCCTCGAAAGCAAACTTACCCAGAGGATGGAGCTGGTTAGACCCAAGTCATGTGGCGAGGGAGACGGCCTCTCTGTTAGCACTCGGAGGTCTGACTGGATCAGAAAGGGGAGAGATTCTCCTGTTCCAAGCCATATTTGCTGCCCTAGGACGTTGCTGTCTAGGTGGGAAAAGGTGCTGGTAGTGGATGCTGTTGGTGGTGGCAGCTTTTGAGAAACTGCTGCCGGCTGTCTGTGGCTGCCAAATCCCGAACCAGTGGAGTTGTCTGTGCGCACTGACCAGGGGAACCTTGCTGTGAAGAGCCCTCCCTGGAGGGCTCTAGAAAAATCCCTGTATGCTTCTGGTTTCTGTTGGTTTCTTTCTTTTTTTTTTCCTCCCCCCCCTTTTTTTTTTAAATTTTAAACCATTCTAAACACCTGTCTCTCGTTTATTTGGTCTGTTCTTATTTTGAAGGTCTTGGAAAAATGTTCTCAGACTCTCATGTGCTGTAAGTCTGTTACAGTCCCAGATGCTTTAATGTTACCGTGCAGCATTTCAGTGTGTGTTGTGCTGTAAAATAATGGCTCCTTACTCTTGCATTTTTGCTGTATTTAATTTTGCTGTATTTTTAATTGGGTAACAATATATTATCTTCTGCTGACCGTTGTGCTACCATTTATTTCTCCTCTGTACTTGGGGTAGGGGCAGAGGGGAGGGAAGCGGAGCCTGACATCGTGTTCAGGCCCCAATGGAGCCTTGAGCAAAGGATCTGGGTGAGGCCCGAGAACGATTTTGGGCGCTGCTAAACTGCCACTTGATTAATACTACAGCTAGGTAGTCGGATGTGGGTGTTGCCCAAAGCATTGCTGTTACGGGGTGATGTACCTTCCCTCTCAGAGCAGCCTCTTTTGCTCTAGGCTTTGCCAGCTGTGTCTGTGTTTTAGCTTAGCTGGATTGCAGGGAGAGGGGGTACAGAGAGGATCAGACGTGAGGCTGTGTCTGAATGGACTCCGCTCTGTGCTGAGCGGGTCCCACCGGTACAGGGACCGATGCCAACCGCTCTCCCTTCCCGCTCCTTCCTTTTGCTCGGACACTAAAACTGCACGGCTGGAAGAGGTGGGCGCCAGCCCTCAGCTGGGAAGAGAGGAGGGTTACTTCCATGAGACACAGACTAAGCAAAGCCCAGGGTAAAAGCGCTTGCTCCGTTCCCAGTCTCTCGGTGCCCGGGCTGTGACACTCGGGCGATTTTTCTGTGCTACACTACACACGAAGGAACTGAGCAGAGCTGCCTCTTCCCCCTTCGCCGCCCCGCTGGTGGTGGGATGAGTAACGTGGGCAGGAGGGGGAGTGACTTTGACTTGCATTTGTATTTTGGTTCCCTGACTGTGTATATACAATTTTCTATGTTCCTTTTTTGTGGTAACTAAGATGAATATTTTAATTAGATAAGTTATATGAAAAGAGGAAAAATCATGTCTCAATAAAAGCCAAACACTGGACCGTGTCTGCTTGTTCCTTTCTGTCTCTCAGCAACGAACGTTAAATACGCCGTTAGCAAAACTAGGTCTCCGTGGCCCCTAGCGGGGCTCCCGCTCGGCGGTCCCGGCGGGGGGGGGGGGGGGGGGGGGGGCCCCCGTCCCCCCCCGGGG